GGCCCCGCCCAGGGGCTCCGTGGGTTTGGCGGAAGCGGAAGGGGAAGCCAGGGTGTGAGATTCGAGAGGCCCCTGGTCCGCAGGAATCGCTCAATCCGCTCTGCGCCCTCGATCCTTCCGTATGGACCCCAAGCAAGCGTCGGGGACCCTCGAAGCCGTGAGTGGCAGGCGGGGAGTTGGAGGGCAGGAGCTGTGCGTTGTCCCCTGGCCTGTGTCCAAGATGAGAATTCGCAAACCTGCAAAGCTTGAACTTGGGGATTTTTTGTTTGTTTTGTTTTGTATCGGGCATGGAACTCAGGACCTTGCACTTGCCAAGCAAGCTTCCACCACTGAGCTAAATCCTCGGCCCTATTGGTTTAGTTTTGGGTTTTTTTTTTTTTGAGACAGGTCTCTCTTATGTAGCCCAGGCTGGTCTCGAACTCCTTCTGCCTCAGCCTCCCAGAGCTGGATTACAGATGTGTGCCACCACACCCCACAGGCTGGGACCTTTCTGCGTCTGGAGAAGGGACTTGGGCTTTCATCAGACACTTAATCAGACACTCGGCTCCTGGATATCCTGCCTCAGTGTCTCCTTTCAGAAGCCCGCCCCTTCCCAGCCCCCTGCCAACCGAACCTTCTGGAGGGCCTGAAGGAAGAGGGGCCTCCTGGAGCTAAGTCCCTCCCACTTCGCCCGTACTGGGCTGGACTCCGGATCACAGTGGCCACTCAATAATGTTGTTGAGGCCGGGAATTTAGCTCAGTGGTTCGGTGGCCTGCCTTGCAAGCATAAGGACCCAAGTTCAATCCCCGGTACCAAAAAATAATGTTGTTGAGTGAATGATCTTGCCCTCTCTCTCTCTCTCTCTCTTTGGCTTCTCAGCTTTACCCTGCCTGTGACAACATTTCCTGTGTCCCACAAGTGTGGTTGGAAGCGGGGCATGGTGGCACAGGCCTGTAATCCCAGCATTCAGGAGGCTGAGGCAGGAGGATCACCACAATATGGAGGCCAGTGTGACCTATGTAGTGAGTTTAAGGCAAATGTGAACCACATAGAGAGACTCTGCCTCAAAGGAACAAAGTTTCAGGGCCAGGATTTTAGCTCAGTGGCGCAGTCAATACCTGCCTGGCAAGCACAAGGTCCTGAGTTTGATCTCTAGTACCAAAAAAAATGATAAGAATACTGTACATTGTAAATGGGGAAAAGAATATTAGACTAGATAAAGCTAGCTGTAGTGACACACACCTATAATCCCAGCTTCTGGGAGGCAGAGGCAGGAAGCTGCAAGTTTGAGAACACCCTGGGCAATTTAGCCAAGCTGGCTCTAAAAAGCAGCTAGCGGTGGTGGCCCATGCTTGTAATCCCACCACGGTGGAGGCTGAGGCAGAAGGATCACAGATTCAAGTGCCACCAGGGCAATTTAGTGACTTGGTGAGATCCCATTTGTTTTAAAAGGCTGGGGATATAGCTCAGTGCAAAGGCCCTGGGTTCAATCCCTAGCACTGTTTAAAAAATGCTGTTTGGGCTGGGTGTGGTGACTCACACCTCTAAGCCCAGCACTCGGGAAACTGAGGCAGGAGGATCACTGTGAGCTCAAGACGAGCCTGGGCTACATAGTGAGTTCCAGATCAGTCTCAACTACCTAGTGAGACCCTGTCTCAAAAAACAAAACAAAACAGAAAAATGCTATTTGGCTTATTATGAGCATTTTTCCATATCATTAAATGTTCTTCAATAGCATGTCTTTTAACTGGATGTGGCGCACATGTGTGTGATCCAGGCACTCCGGAGTTGAGGCAGGAAGATGACCAAGACTTCAGAGCCAGCCCAGACTACAGTGAAAGCCCCTGCCTCAAAAGGCCAAAAAGCATCACATCATGTCTTGGCGGCACGGTCCTCTGCAGTGTGTGTGCTTTACCCTGTGACCAATGACTTCCTGCTGTCCTGAGAGAGGATTGTGTCCCTTATCAGTAGCCCAGGAAGAGAGCAGAGTCCCAAGTTCACTTTCCACTGACTGTGGCTTTCCTGCCACTGCAGAGTTGGGGACACTGTGGGGCAACGTCTGTCCTTTCCCACGATAAGTGAGACTGTTTTGAAACTGCCAAACTCGAATGCCACCAAATTGCTAAACCTCATGTGGTCTGCTGCTTTCCGAGCTGGGGTCACGGGATTAGCACACATTACTGGAACCTGCCCTCCACCCACTCTCCCAGGCCACTTGGTCTTTGGTGCTGGGATTTGAGCCCAGGCCAGTCTCTACCCAGCCCTGGCCCAGCCCAGCTTTCAGGTTCACAGATGAGCCCGGCACAGGGTCCAGATGTCCTCTTCACGAGGGGCTCCCGCTCTGCTCATCCTGTGGACCCTGCCGGCTCGGCCTCTGTTTGTTTAAGGGGCTGGAGTCGGGCCTTGTGCAAGCTTCGCCGGGGCTCTGCCCTTGCACTGGACCCCAGCCCAGGCTCACCTCTTTATAATTTGCAGTGCTGGACCCTTGAAGCCAAGGCCTTCACCAGCCCCACCCACCTCTCTTTTTTTCTTGAGACAGGGTTCTCGCAGTCACTAAGTTGTCCAGGTTAGCCTGCATCTTGCCACCCTCCTGCCTCAGCTTCCCAACTGTCTTTCAAACACCACGTCTGGCCTGAGTGCCACTCAGTGGTGGGCTGCATGCTTAGTATGTGTGAAGCCCTGGGTTCTACCCCTAGCACCAAAATCTAAAGCAAACAAAAGAAAAACACATCTTCTACCTCGCTCCAAAATCTAAAGCAAACAAAAGAAAAACACATCTTCTACCTCGCTCCTTTCCATTCTCTTCCTCCTCTAGTTTTTCCATTTCCTGTTGACACCAAGTTGAAATTTCCGGCTTAAGCTTTTTAAGACATTTTTTTGTTGGAGCTGGGGATGTTCCTCCATAGCACAGCACCTTCCCAGACCCTGGGTTCCATCCCCAGCCGTGGAAAAAAATCTCAGTAATTAGATTCTCAAACAATGCGATAAAGATTTTAAGGAAGGCCACGAACTTAGCTCGGTGGCACCGCTCCTGCCTTGCAAGTGGACTCATGAGTTCAATCCCTGGTAGCAAAAAAAAGGATTTAAAGAAGAAGATAGAGGTCAGACTGAAGGCTATATCCAGCCCAGTAAAATATTCCATTTTCATTTATTTTAAAAACTGAATCATCGTTTGCTTTGCTTTGCTTTTTCTCTTTTGATTTTTTGAGACAGGGTCTCACTATGCAGTCCAGGCTGGCCTCAAACTCGTGGTGATCCTCCTGCCTCAGCCTCCCGGGTGCTGGGACCATAGGCGTGGGTCACACTGAACTTTTCAGCAGCCTCTGTGACACACTCCCACCCTCTCATTTACTTCATCCCTTCGGCACACATTTCCTGAACATCCCTGTGTGCCAGAGACTCTCTGGGCCCTTGGGGACCTGGAGGGGACCGGGATGGAGTCCCCCGTCTGTCTGGGGGGGGTCCCTGTTTGGCAGCTTCCTGGCCACAGCTGCGAGGCCTCTGCCAGCCCAGTGCACCCTGGGACAGAGCTGGGATTGTTCGCGCCCGCACTGTCGGTGGTGCTGCTGGCTCAGCTCCAGGTCCCAGCAGCTGAGGCCACTTGGTGGAAGTGGTGGCAGACAAGGGACAAGCTAGGGACAAGGGAGGGGCCTCCCAGTCAGAGGGCTTCGTCCGCAGGATGCCCTGGCCAGCAGAGTGGGGCCCAAAGACAGCGCAGCATCCGGCCTGAGCTGCAGCTCCCCTCTGTGAGGTGCAGGGAGGCACATCTGCCTCAAGGGTTGCCTCAAAATCCAGTGGACAGTCACTAGACGAGGCTCAGCTCAGCCTGGCGTGGCAGCAACATGCCCTGATGCTGCTACTTAGAAGGCTGAGGCAGAAGTATTACAAATTCAAGTCCAAACATGTTTGTTAAAACGGGGAAAAAAAAAAACAAAATTCAAGTCCAGCATGGACAAATTAGCAATTTAGCAGGACTTTGTCTCAAAATCCTCCCCCACCAAGAATCGAACTTGGGACCCCTTGCTTTCCAGACATGGCACCACTGAGCTAAATCCCCGGCATCAAATTTTTTTTTTTTTTTTTGGTACCAGGGATCAAACTTGGGTCCTTGCACTTGCAAGGCAGGCAGTGGAACCATGGAGCTAAATCCCCAGCCCTCCTATTTTAAAAATTTTTAAAAATTGATGGTTGGAGGCCTGGGGATTTAGCTCCATGGTTCCTCCACCCTCCTTGCAAGTGCAAGGACCCGAGTTCGATCCCAGGTACAAAAACAAAAATTTTTTTTTTTAAATCTTATTTTGTCCCATTCCCTCCTTCAAGCCCTCAATGTTTTTGTTTTTTGAGACAGAGTATCACTATGTATGTAGTCCAGGCTGGCCTTGAACTAGAATACCCGGCGATCCTCCTGCCTCAGCCTCTGAGTGTGAGTGCTGGGATTATAGCCTTGCACCCCCATGCCAGTCCCCCAAATAAAAAAACTGAAAAGGGCTGAAGATGTAGCCAAGCAGTAGGGCACTTGTCTCACATGCCAGAGGCTTGCAGTTCAGTACTCAGTACCACACACGTGGAGGAGGAGCCTGGCAGAGTCAGCAAATGCTAATATGTGCAAGGCCTGGGGTTCCATCCCCCAAAACCAGGGCACAGTGCTGAACACATGACCCAGCTACTTGGGAGGCTGAGTCAGGAGAATGGCAAAGTGTAAAGCCAGCCTGGAGAATTCGGCAAGACTGCCTCAAAATAAAAAAGTTAAAGAGGCAGGGACGTGGCTCAGGGGCAGCGTGGCCTGGGTTTCCTCTCCCAGCAGACCATGAGCTCCGTTTCCAGCCAGCCCCACCCACCTCCCCACTGTGCTGACCCTGTCAGGACTGTGCCTCTGGACACCCCCTGCCCCTCTTCAGTACAGGCTTGAAGGCCTGGCCCCTCTGCTACCCTGTCAGGTCTGTTAGTGCAGTTGTTTGTTCATTTTGCTTTTGCAGCACCAGAAGTGACCTAGAGCCCTCACTCTGAGCTACATCCTCAGCCTCTTTTTTCTTTTTCTTTTTTTGTACGGGGATCGAACTGGGGTCCTTGTGCTTGCGAGGCAGGTGGCGGAACCACTGAGCCAAATCCCGGCCCCTTTTTTTCAATTTTAAAACAAGGTCTCAGGCCGGGGATTTAGCTCAGTGGCACCGCATCTGCCTCGCAAGCTCCAGGTCCTGAGTTCGATCCCCGGTATTAAAAAATAAAATAAAACAACAAGGGGAAAAAATGAGAACCAAGACCTGTCATGTAAAGGTACAAGATCCCAATAATGAATGTAAATGCACTGTATACCTAAAATGTACATGTAAAGGTACAAGATCCCAATAATGAATGTAAATGCACTGTATACCTAAAATGTACCAATAAACTCAATTAAAAAAAAAACATAAGACAAGGAGGGCAGGGGCTATAGCTCAGAGGTGCCGCTGCCTGCCTTGCAAGCACAAGATCCCTGATTTCAAGCCCCAGTATAAAAAAAATAAAACAAGTCTCTAAATTTCCCAGGCTGGGCTTGACCTTGAGATTCGCCTGCCTCAGCCTCCCTGGCTGCTGGAACTCCAGGCTGGAGGTGCCACTCTTGGTTTCTGTAAATGTCTGTCCAACTCTCTGCAGTGAAACAGCCATAGCTGCTGAGGGGACTTCTTCCACCCTCCTGGAGCCTCTATGCCGGGTGGACAAGGCCGCGGCCACCCGGGGCAGTGGGGCTGGGCTTCACCTGCTGCCTTCCCAGCAGCAGCGTCCCACTGCCGTCCCTCCCACAGGCCCTCTCTGCCCTCCTGGAGGACCAGGGCAGGCTGAAGAGGAGGCTGCAAGAGCTCCAGCAGCTGCAAAAGGAGGCCGGGAACACCCCCAAACTCAAGGTCAGCTGGGAGGGCTGGGCCTGGTGGAAGAGTGGGGTTCCCTGCTGTGTGGCCTGAGGGAGCTCCTCAGGCTCTCTGAACCTCAACTGGCTCATCTAGAAAGCAGCAAGGTCCTGTGTATGTGGTGGGGTGCATCACCCCACACAGGAGGCCCTGGCATCGGTCTCCAGCACTGCACAAGCAAACAAAGGCTGGCATGTGGTGCACACCTTTCATGCAAGCACTTGGGAGGCTGAGGCAGGAAGATCACTCTGAGTTCCAGGCCAGCCTGTGCTTCATAGTGAGACCTTGGCTCAGAAAAAAACCAAGGTACACAGAGCAGAAGACACATCTGCTTGTGAAGCTCGAAGCGTGGGCCTGGCCTGGCTCGAACACACGTTGGCAGGGGACGCCCGGGGGACCAAATCTGGGCCTCTTCTGTCAACCCACTCCCACCCGCAGGTCCCGTTCCTGATGCCCGAGGTCCCCCTGGAGTTCCAGGGCCGCACTGAGCAGGGCCGGGACACGGCCAAGTCCTTGGTCTCCCAGCTGCGCGTCTGCTGTCCTCTCCCAGGGGGCTCTGCCCTGGTGACCTTTGATGACCCCAAAGGTGGGCTGGGCCCTGGGGGTGCTG